CCCCTCCCGGGCCGGGAGCCCGGCCGCTAGAGGGCGCGGCAGAGGTGCGGAGGGCGGTGTGTACCTCCCGAGCGCGCCGGGCAGAGGGCGCCGAGGCGGGGGCTCCAGGGTCACCACGCCGCAGGCCGGGAGAGTGGGCAGCCCCCTGCCCACCGACGTACTTGCTGTGCCCGCGCCCGGGGCGAGGGTCTCGCCGACAGGTGGGCAAGAGAGAGCGCGGGCTAGGGCTCCGCTCGCCCTGCTCCCACTCCTCGCCACCGTGGGCTTCGAGCTTTGGTCTCCGTCTGGGTGGGGACTCGAGGACAAGGCGTACACGCTCACGGGGGTCGGGGGGAGGGTGCTACGAGGCAAGGAAGCCAACTTAGCCCGGCCGGGGATAGGGGACCCCGAAATCGGTCCTGCCTCACCCGGGTCACTCGCTGGGCTCGTGGACTCAGCTATGGAGGGCTGAGAGAAGCCTTGGGGATCCGGCCCGAAGCTCCCGCCCAAAGCTCTGCACCATTTCTCTCCAAACGTCTCACATCTGGTCAAGTCCAGGGCCAGGGCGCATATACCAGGTGGCTGAAAACTTGGGGACCCGGTGTCCACTGACCAGGCGAAGCAAAATTGACGCTGTTAATCAGATTTCTCAAGCCGTTTTTGGCCATAGAGATTTGAGTGGGAAGCACGGGCCTCCACAGCGTTAGGGAAAGCGCCCCTTCCCTCCGTCTGGGCCCCAAGTCCACCGTGCGTCCAACTCCTAGGCGGCAGCAAGTGACCTGGACTCCGAGGTCCTGTCCACATAGGCGGGACGCCCAACGGGACCGCTGCTTCTCCCCGGAGCCCCCTGCCGAGATTCACAGACTCGTCCAAGATGCGTCACCTCTGTTCCCAGCATTCAAGCCCCCGCGCGACCCCTGTCGCTCCAGCCGCCAGAAGGACCAGGGAGCGTTCTGCCCAGGTCCAGGCGGTGCAAGGAACCAGGGTCTGGGCTGCCCGGAACCCATCCATTCTCCGGAAGCCGACCTAGAGGCTTCGGGGCAGGTAGAGCTGGGCTGCCCCGGGCCGCGCCCCTGCCCCGAAGGTACCTGCACAGAGCCCCGTCCCGGAGGTGAAGCGCCCGGTACGTGGAGGGAGATTGTTTCTCAGAGGCCTTAACTGCGGAAAGGGATCGGAAAACCTAGGTTTCCTGTCCCAAGATAATGCTTTTTGTTGTGGCCACTTTCTCCCTGGCCCCGATTGTCAGGGACTCTGGGGGCCCGTTACTAGCCATGATTTATCTTCGGCCCCGCCCTGGATATTAGTTTCTTCTTTTATCTGGGAATTAGTCTCTCCCAGAGTCCCCGCCGTTGGGGAGGGGAGGGAAGGGGTGTAAAGAGGCTGAGGGCCTAAAGCAGCGGTGGGGATGGGCAAGGAGGGATGCCAGCAGGAGGACCAGCTGCCTTCCCCCCTATCCACCCCCCAACCCCAAATCCCCGGCTCAGAATCGAGGTCATCTCCCACAGCGGGTGAGACCTCCAACCCACGCCCATTCCTCAGGTCACTGAGCCCCAACCAATCCGACTTCATAGGTCCCGTGGGAACGAAAAGGATCTCCCACTCAAGCCTCTTCCCAGGACAGAGAAAGAAGCAACACTGACAAGTGGCAAATGTATCTGGGTTTGAGCTTCTGACGTGGGTCCAAGCCGAGGGGGAGGGTTTAAACGAAGGGGCTACCAGCTCAGAGCACCAGCACACTCTCTAAGCACGCTCACTTCCTGTCCCCACCCCCTGGCAGCCCTCAGCCAGGAGCCCCTGCCTTTAAAACATGCGGTCGCACAACAGGTCTCTGTCGTTCCTGGAGCTGCCGCCGGCGCCCTCCCACCCCGACCCCAGCCCCAGGATGGCCCCAGACACGCTGACCGCACCTGCCGCGGAGCCCTGGGCTTGCGCGCCGCTTGAAAACCTACTCATCTGTAAAATGGGAATAATAATAGAAACTCCCTCGGGGAGCTGTTGTGAGAAACAAACCAGTTAATAAATGTAGAGCGTTTAGCAGCGCCGGGCACGTAGTAAGTGCTCAATACGGTTATAAATAACGACGATAATGGCTTTCACCCGTAGCGAACGACAGTGCCACGTTTAACCTGCAACTCAAGGTCAAACTGCCCTATCGGGGAGGTATCTCTAACCCCACGACGGCGATAAAGAAACAGACCGAGGGAGGGGCACTAACTTGCTCAGAGCGGTTCAGCTGGGAAGAGGCAGAGTTGGATTCGCACCCAGGGCCGCTTCTCTCCTCCTCCCCGTGAGGAGGCTGAGAGAGGGGCCCGGCCCCGCGCGGACAGCCCCGCGTTCCCTCGGTGGCCCGGAGGAGTGACTCTTCAGCCGAAGGACCAAAAATAGCAACCCGCAGGAGCCGAGACCCAGGTGTCCTGCGCCAGCGGGCGACCCAACCGGCCAGAGAGAAGTGAGAAGTGGCTGAGGTCAGGCCGGCGGCTCCCGGGCGGCTGGGGAGGTCGAGCGGGGGTGGGGCTGGACCCCCACGTGCGCCGCCTGCCGCTGCTTAGCCAAGCCCTTTGTCGCGAGCAGCAGCGTTCGTGCCTCACTCGGCGGCTTAAAATAAAGACAATGTTCCCAGCCTCCCTGCGGCTAAATCCGGCGCGGGTGCGGGGGCGGTGAGAGAGCCGAGTGGGAGAGCTTCTCCTGGCCCTCCCTCCCTGCCTGCCTCAGTTTCCCCATCTGGTAAGGGGAGCTAGCCAAGTCCGGGCGGAGAAGAGTCATACGGGCCCGGGGGACGAGGGGGGGGGCCATGATCCCCCTGCCTCCGCGGCTTCGCGGACTTAAGGAGGAAACCGCCTGGGACGGAGAGGGGCACTCAAGAAGAGGCAAGGGAAAGCTGGACACCCTCCCCTCCCGCCTACAAAATAAGTGTTTTTATTTCTAAAGGGACGTGTGCAGAGGCGGTGGGAGAAGAGAAAAGGGAGACCAAGGAGATTGGGGGGAGGGGGCAAGGAGAGAGCCTGATTCAGACTCGGAAATGGATGTTGAGCGTGGAGGCCTAACACCCCCACACTCAGCCACGTGTACGCGCACAAGTACACGCAGCCTCACCGCGCGCACCAGCCGCAGCCGCAACTCGAGGACCGCCCAGCAGGGGGCGGCCCGAGTCTGAGCCCACGGACAGGAACTGGTGGAGTTCTGACCCCACCCCTGACCCGCTGGTCGGGCCCGGGGTGGGAGGGGGCTGCTCAGATTCCTCTCCAGGCTGCAGTGTCTCCTCGACTTCAGAAGGGAGGTGGCCTGGATGCTTGCTCTACCCTCAGCTGGCTTTGAGAAGCAGAGATCCCCCACATGTACCTGCCATGTGTGCCCACCACTGGCATCCCATGGCTGCTGGCCAAGCCCCAGGGACACCAATTTCTGTTGCCACCTGGCTCCAATGTCAACTGGGCTCCGGCCTGAGGAAGCCCTGGGTTACCCTCAGGCGATTGAGAGGGGGTGCTTGGTGGGGAAATGGGCAGGGGGAAAGTGGTGGGGCAGGTCCCGACCCCCTGCCTTAAAGCCAAGGGACCTGAGTCCAAACACTTGCGCCTCACATATTAATCACGCCTCTGCTCTTCAGTTTTCTCATCTGCATAATGGGACTAATAGATGATCCCTGTCCTTCCTATCTTCCACCCCAGAGCTTCAGCATGGCCCAGTGGGGCAGAGGACACAGCAGCCCAGCAGCCAGCTCCCAGCTCCCCTCCGTGGTCAGCTCCCCGGGAGGTCTCTAGGGCCAGTGAGGGTGGTGCAGAACCCCGGTCTCTATGGCAAAGGGCCCCCAGGGGTTCTATCTCTGAGGAAACTCAACACAGAAATCCAAAAGGGGGGAGGGAGGGTACTGACCAAGCAGTCGGGCTAAGGGAGGTGGGGAGGAAGGGCAAGGTTGTCACTTCCCAGGTACACACCTGTGAGCCCCGAGTGGGAGTCAGGGGAGACAGAGTTTGACAAGCTGGGAGGAGAGCTGTCTGTCTGCCTGTCTGTCTGTCTTCCAAGTGGAAGCTGGGGGTGGAGCAGGCAGGGAGGTAGATAGAGGCTGCCTCACTTGTCAGAATTAGCAAGTTCCACAGTTGGGCAACACTCAGACACACACCGAATACAGATACACGTGTACACACACGTCCTGGTTCCAGACCAACAGGGTGACACCTGCATTTACACAGGTTGCATGGTATTTGGGGACATTCACGTGGGGGGGGCACTCAGCAGCACATGTAGTGGGCACACGCCCCCTCCACTCCTCCCTTCCAACCAGACCCCCATATAGCCTCACACCCGGGCTCTGCAGCATGGACGGACGCAAGAGCACGCAGCCCAGCACGCGGGCACGTCTGCCCAGCCCCTGGGGCGGGTGCGCCAGCCCTCTGGGTCTGTTCCAAGTTGGAGCCTCTCACGTGAGGCCCAATGTGTCATTTCCAAACAGAAGGAATCTAGCTCCTTCGCAGCAGGGAGGAAGAGCCGGGTGTGGGGCTGGGTGGGTGGGTGGGTGCGTGGGCGTGTGCAGGGGGCAGGGCGTGTATGAGGGAAACAGGCATGTGAATGCCGGGGTGCGTGTGTTGGGGCATGGTGCACACAGACTGGGGGCTCTAAGGTTGGGTGGGGGAAGGAGCCCCGGGAAACAGTGTGCCTTTGTGAGGGTGTGTGCGTGTGTGTGTGTGTGTGTGTGTGCCGCTGAGTCTGTGTGCAGTGGGTGTGGGTGTTTGTCTCCCTGTATCCGCCTTCTCTCCCGTTCCGGACTTTTAGCCTTCCTGGGCTTGCTCCCCATGTCCTACCTCCTCCCTCTCGGGGCTCGAATTAGGTGCCCTAGTGGAGGAGGGGGGCACGCTCCAGGACCTAGTCCGACCCCAGCCGCTGCCTGAGGCTTCCCTCCAGCTCCCCCTCCCTTCCTTTTCTCCCTTTCCTCCCTCCCTCTCTTTCCTCTCCTCCCTCCCCCCCCCAGGCTGGCGTGCCAGGGGGTGGGACATGCCAATCAGTGGTTGTGCCTCTCCGGCTGCCAGCACAGGGCGCAGCTCCCCCCGGGAGCCAGGTGTTTGGGTCCCTGGAGACGGCGCCGGCCCCCGGGGAGGCAGTGGGGCCGAGGACCCTACAGACCCTTCTCCAGCCCCATGGTGAGTACATTTGGGAGGGCTTGGGAGGGGCTCCATCAAGGTGGGGGCGGGAAAAGCAGGGTCCTGGGAGCAAAGCAGAGACCAGGACTAGCAGGAAATGGGGCTGAGCGCCAGAGAGAGGAGGGGGCCAAGGAGGGGTCTAGAGGCCAGGGGCGCTCTGTAGCATTGGACAATGGCTGCTCCAAACACCCAGGCTCATGGCTTTGAGCAGATACACCTGATGTTTTTCTGGGGTTCAGCTGGCAGGGGAGATGGAGACCCCCCTCAGGAAACTGGACCTGGAGCCCAGAGGGATTAAGCCGCCACATAGCAGGCAGAGGACCCAGAATCCCAGGGACAGAGTGGAAAGGGCAGGGGGCCAGAGGGCAGCCTTGGCCACCAGCATCCTGTGGGAGGTTGCTCCCCCGACATTGGGGTGCCAGTCCCAGAACCTCCTCCTCTTCTCCCTCAGGGAACCCTGACTCCCACCAACCCCATCCACCTTCAGCCCCCCCAAGATGGACTGAACCAGGTTCCTGGCCAGACGGACAAGCTGGATGCCAAGGTGGGTGTTAGGCCAGAAGCCAGCAGGAGACCAGGCCAAGAGCCCCAGGGCTCTCCGGGAACAAATGGGCACATGGGAGGCCACACCAGCCAGGGAACGTGGCCCTGATGTGTGCAAGGGCCCAGAGGGCCCCCCCTGTGTCCACAGTGTCTTGGGCTCCCACAGAGCAGGTCTCAGTCCTGTGTCCTGGTAATGCATGGGTACTAATGGGCACCCACCCAGGTACCCATCCCAGTACCCCCCAGACTCCACAATGTAGGTAGGGCTGGGCTGGAGGCCACCAGCTCTGATTCCTGCAGACTGGCCAGCTGAGAAGGGGGTGGTCAGCTCTCATTGGGTCATTCAGACATTCAGTGCTGTTTAAGGGTTATCGGTGCTAGCGAAAGGGGTTCACTGCTTGCCACAGAACATACCTACACAGCTCCACCCAGGCTGGCCCAACCACCACCACCCACCCACCCACCCCCTCCCAAGTGGCCGGAAGGAGTCAGATTGTCTCCTACAGCTGGACAGTCTGCTATCCCCGGGTAATCAGCTGCTCACTGAGCTGTCAGATAAGAGTTGGTTCTCTGCCCCCTGACCTCAGCCACTGGGCAAGCCATGATCGCTCCTGTGATACAGAAGGCAGGGGAGGGGATGGCGAAACGGGGCTGCGGAAGATATGTCTCTTGTCTCCCAGGCTGAGGCCTGGAGGTCTGAGAACTGATCCCCAAGTGCAAAGAGGAGTCCAGAGTGCCAAGAAGGGGTTAGGCTGAGGTCACGTCAGCCCTAAAAAGGAACCTCCCCATTGACCAGATGGAGAGACGGAGGCTGAGAAAGGTGAAGGGATGTGCTCGTGGTCCCAGAAGGGACACGGAGGGGTCCTCCTGGGCTGGGACCCCATTCCCCTCAGCCTCAGGGCAGCATTGCACTCCCACCTCCTTGAGCAAGATGTCGGGGTGGGGGAGCAGCAGGGAGCTTGGGCTCTGGAGGGGAGGGGAGGGGAGGGCGGGCGGGGAGAGGTGGGTGAATATCTCGCTGGGTTTCTGCTCCACTGTGATGCCATGGTGATGCCTAGAAGGATGGGGGAGGGAGGGAGGGAGAAGAAAGGAAATGGGGAGGAGAACTCAAGGATGGAAGAATAGGGGGCAAGTGGAGAGGTGGATGAGGGGCGGAGCCCTGCTGATACCACCTGGCCGAGTGAGGTCTAGGGCCCAGCCTGCTGACCGCCTGGGTCTGGCATGGTTCGGCTGAACTCGGGCAACTGGTTAAAGTCCATCAGCCATGAGCGCATTTGGAAGTGGTTCTAGGGCTGACGCTCCTCTTCCGGCTCGGCAGCACATTTATGAGCATTTAACTGAAGGCTGCTGCTCTCCCCAGGGCCAGTTGGCTCTCCCCGTCGTGACTTTGGGGCCTGAAAATATGATAAATTGCATGTGTTTACCCCTCATTCCCAAGGCCAGGCCTCGGAGGTAGGAGTTTTGTGCACCTTTAATGGGTCAAGAGCTACTTTTAGAGAAAAGTTAACCCAGGGGGAGAGAGCCACCTCTGACAGGCTGGCTTCTGGATTAAGGCTCCAGCAGAAGGGACCAGACAGAAGACTGGGCCAGAGGAGCACCCTCCTCTCTGCACATGTGAAGTCCTGGAAGCCCAGCCCCACAGACCCTACCTCGTATCTCCCTCTCCCCAGTATTTCTCCTTCTTTCCAGTCGGGGCTCTGCCAGCTTCCAGGCCCAGAATCACAAGATGGCTTCGCTCCTCCCTCCTGAATCTCTTCCCCTGCACCTCCTCATTCTCTGTCTCCCCTTCTCCACAACTTGGCCAGTGGTAAGATTCAGGAAGCCCAAGTGTTTAGGAATCCCTCTCCCCAGCAATCGCTTCTAGCCTCCCCCTTCCTCTTGCCGGCCAGATCCCCAGCCCCTGGGGATTGGTCCAAGGCTCTGGCGGTCAACAGTCTGGATTGCTGTTCTAGAGGCTCTGACCTCATCCCTTAACTCTTTAAACCCAGGCTGACTTTTTCCTTCCCCAGCACTGACAGGCCCCATCCCACACCCGTGCCTGTCCTATCACCTCATTCAGCTTCCCTGCAGCAGGTGAGTCAGGGCCTCCTTGGTCCATTGAACAGGTGAGGATGCCCTTGGCCATTTTTCTCCTGTGCTCTCAAGTCAGACAGGGCCTCACCCAGGAGACAGGGACCTGGCAAGTGAAGGGATGCAAGACCTGGAAGGAGTCGGGGGTGGGGGGTGGGCACATGCTCTGGAGCCTGACCCCTGTGGATTCATCCTCATACCCCTGAGCCTGAAGTCAAACAGGAGGACCCCATGTACATAGTCACGTATTTCTTCCACAAATATTTATTGAGCAACTACGTGTGCCAAGCGCTGGGATAAAAGCAGTGAATGAGGCAGACACAGCCCCTACCCTGCTTCTCAGAGAGATGCAGCTAGACCTCCTCCTTCCACAGTGCCGTCATCATACATCACACAGATCGACAACAGACCCTGTCTCACACACACACACACACACACACACACACACACACACACACAGGCCAGATTCTAAAGGAAGGACTGATTCTTCACTGACTCAAACCTCAAACTAAGGGTTGGCCAAGTCAGTCAAGGTGGGCGAGGAGCCTGTGGGGCCCACCATTCCCACAAGAGGAATTTAGAGTAGACAGGGGTCCAAGAGGTCTAAATCCTGGCTTGCATTAAGGGTTTAAGGTCCTTAAGGTCTCAAAACCTCAGTTGCCCCTTTTGCAGATTGAGGATAAGAAAACCTGCTTCACAAGAAGTTGTAACAGGTCAATTGAATCATGAATAGAATGCTTAGAGCTGCGTCTGGTATATGGTAAGCGGTCAGTAAATGCCAGTTGCTATGATAATTTTAATAATATTACTAAAATCTCCCAACAACCTTCATCAGGAGGCCACAGTCCTGAGCAGAAAAGCACCTCCCTGCTTCCTTGCCTCCTTCCAGTATCCCAGACATGACGCCCTCAGAGGATGCATCCCACCCCATCTCCACAAAGCTACAGACTCACCCCCACCATTTCTTATTCTCACTCAGCAATGCACATACCCTCACACACAATCATCCTACAGGATTACCAGGTTGGGACAGTGACTTGCCCAAGGTCACACAGCAGGGACCAGCGCAGGCCTCCAGGAACATTCTCCTGAGCAAATCACCATCTGAAAGAGGTTTGGGGGAAGACCCCTCCTTCCGATTGAGGAGGAAAGGCAGAGTTATTGACAGCTCTGTCCTTGGACTGCATCCCAAGAGCTCAGACAATCCAGGGAGTGGCAAGAATCGGGGACCAGTTCCCCAGAACCACTACCCTTCTCTTTCCTCCCGGTTGTCCCAGATGGGAGGCCTCAGCCTCTACAGCTCCTAGGTGGGGTATAGAGGAGTCTGCCAAGTGGAAAGAACACAGGCCTTGGAGCCCGCAGACCCGGGGAAGAATCCCAGCCCCACCGCTTCCCGTGAGACCATCAGCAAGTTGAACTTCAGTTCAACAGTCTTCACCTGTGAAATAGAGATAAGAACCCCCATTGGGGTGCCCTATGGATTAAAGGAAATGATATCATACATCAAAAGTCTAGCATGCAGGAGGTGATTAATTATGGTGGCTATCGGTGTGGCTATTAAAATGAGTGAGTGGGAGGGATTTCTAGCCATTAAGACTGCCAGCCTCCTCACCTCCAAGGATCACTTCTCATAGGCCCTCCCATTCTGAAAGCCTTTTTAAAACTCATCAAAGCTGGGGCACCTGGGTGGCTCAGTCGGTTGGTTAAGCATCTGTATTTGGCTCAGGTCATGATCTTGGGGTCCTGGGATCGAGCCCCACATCAGGCTCCCTACTTGGCAGGAAGCCTGCTTCTCCTTCTCCCACTCCCCCTGCTTGTGTTCCCTCTCTCGCTGTCTCTCTCTCTCTCTCTGTCAATTAAATAAATAAATAAAATCTTTAAAAAAAAAAAAAAGAAGAAGAAGAAGAAGAAAAAATGAGGAATCTGGGACCCAGAGAGGGGCTGTGCTGGGGTCTGGACAGCAGGAGGGGGCTGGGCTATGGAGGGGACTGAGGAGCCAGAAATAAGTCCAGAGAGGCTTTTTGGATGCCGTGAGCCCCATCAGCTGGCAGATACAGGGTGCCCGGGGAAGGACAAGTTAAATGATTGCTGATGATCACACCGCTAGAAAGAGACAGTTTTGAGGGAGGACACACAAGAAACTCACTAATCAAGATAAGTAATATTGTAATGTAACATTTTAAAAAATCAACTAGCCAAAAAAAAAAAAAAATCAAACAGCAAACTAGACAGCCCACAGGCGGGCTGTCTGTTTTTGTAAATAAAGTTTCATTGGAACCAGGGCCAGGATCAGGGTGAGTCATGGGTGATAGGATTGTTTGTGCAAGTGCAGAGTTGGACCCTGCCTTTGTTTAAAATTTTGTTCATGATGGATGGTTGTGCATCAATTTCCTTTTTTATTGTTATGTTAATCACCATACATTACATCATTAGTTTTTGATGTAGTGTTCCATGATTCATTGTTTGTGCATAACACCCTGTGCTCCACACAGAACGTGCCCTCTTTAATACCCATCACCAGGCTAAATCATCCCCCCACCCCCTCCCCTTTTTTTCTTTAAGTAATCTCTACACCTAACGTGGGGCTTGAACTCACGACCCCAAGATCAAGAGTCACATGTCCTTCGACTGAGCCAGCCAGGCGCCCCATCAATTTCCACTTTTTAAATATTGCATTAAAACACCCATTTTCTTGAACCCTGAGTTTGGGGGCACCTCCAATTTTACACCCAAGGCAAAACTGCCTCCCTCACCCCCCAACCCCCCCGCCCAGGCCTAGTCCGGCTGTGGTGTGGGACCAGATCCCATAGTGGAGACCTTGGCCCAGCGTTGACGGCTGCACCACGCCCAGGCGGACAGGACGCCCCAGCAGCTGCCAAGGGTGCGGCCTCTAAGGTCAGCAAGCTCATCTTGTCTGTCTCTGACTCAGTCTTTTCCCATCTTGGCCCAGGGAATCACTGGGGGCTACAGAGCTGCCCCAAAGCACCAGAGGTTGAGGGGTTGGGAAAGGGAGCCTGCACCCAAGCGAGGAGCCAGGAGACTTCGGGGGTACACCATGCCTTCTTCCCCGCCTTTTCTCTGGGCCTCAGTTGCTCTGTCTGTGCAATGGGCACCAAAGAGCGCTGAACTCAGATCAGAGGGACGGGAGTTGTGCAGGGCAACCCTGTCACGGGTGGCGGCACCCACCAGTGTCTCCCCAGGGAAAGCCCCAGCGGGCCCAGTCCGATGCCAGCCTCCAGCCCAGCACCTGACTTTGGCTATGGGAAAAGAACGCAACAAAACTCAGTAAGCAAGACAAATAATATTATAGCATGATATTTTTAAAATTCAAATTGGCGGGGTGCTGGGCTGGCTTAGTCAGAAGAGCACGCAACTCTTGATCTCGGGGTCATGAGTTCAAGCCCCACGTTGGGTGTAGAGATTACTAAAAAAATAAATAAAAATAAACAAATACAATTAAAGAAATAAAATTCAAATTGGCCAACTATGGCCTCCAGGCCAGCCATCAGTTCTTATAAATAAAGTTTCATTGGAATAAACTGCTGGTGGTCAGATCTTGGTTCCTACCTTACCTGGGTGATCTTGTGCCAATCCTCTTGCTCTTCTCAACCTCAGTTTTTCACCTGTGAAACGGAGAGAAGAGCAAATGGGTTTCCCTGTTAAGATTAAATGCAATAGGTGCGCATGAGCACTTTGAGCAGCGACTGTCACTCAGGGAGCCCTGAATAACAATGATCATTATCATTAGTAGTTGCTATTGTCATAGTATTCGAAATTTCCTTTAAGTATTTATTGAAGTAATCTCTACACCCAACGTGGCACTTGAACTCATGACCCCAAGATCAAGAGTCACATGCTCCACCAACGGAGCGAGCCAGGTGCCCCAAGAAATTTTTAATCAAAGGAGCAGACACTTGGGGTACCTGCGTGTCTCAGTTGGTTAAGCGTCCGACTCTTGATTTCAGCTCAGGTCATGATCTCAGGGTCCGGGGATCGAGCCCTGCATTGGGCTCTGCGCTCAGCAGGGGGTCTGCTTGGGATTCTCTCTCCCTCCCTCTTCCTCTGCCCCTTCTCCCCCTCCTCCCCTCTCTCTCTCTGTCTCAAATAAATAAATCTTAAAAAAAAAAAAAAAAAGAGGGACGCCTGGGTGGCTCAGTCAGTTAAGCGTCTGCCTTCAGCTCAGGTCATGATCCCAGGATATTGGGATCAAGTCCCACATCAGGCTCCCTGCTCAGCAGGGAGTCTGCTTCTCCCTCCGCCTACCGATCCCCCTGCTTGTGCTCTCTCTCTTGCTCTCTCTCTGGCAAATAAATAAATAAAATCTTAAAAAGAAAAAAGAAAAAGGAGCAGACCCTTGTAGGAGGGAGCCCTCCCTGGTACACATGCTAAGAATCAACGGGAACCTAGCGCTCACCATGTGGTGCCAGACCTGTCCCAGGCACTCTATATCCATGGACCCATTTAGGCCTCACAACAATTCCTTGATTTATTCGCCAGGGACCAGGGTCATTCCCATTTTTCAGCTGAGGAAACCAAGGCACATGGCAATTACGCCACCAGCAGGGATCACATAGCCAGTAAATGGTACAGCCTGGATTCAGATGGAGCCAGTCTGGCTCAGGCTATCCAGGTCCTTCCACCGTGATGCTCCCTGTCCCCCTGAGGAGCAAACCGCCCGAGACACACAGGCATGCGCTGACAGCCATGTCAGCGCATGTGACATGCTTCACTGTCACACTCCAGACTGCCATCCTAAGAGTCCCTCTCACACACCGACACCGTGACGGGCAGAGACGACCTCAGCCACACACCCTCGGTCACACGCTGTCACAGGCACGCACCCTGAGGCCCCCTGTCATGCATCGACCTCCTCACAGGCACACAGCACACTAGTCTCTCTGTCAGAGACCGGGTCCTGAGGAACACCAGAGCCTGGTGGGCCCTTGCCCAATGTCTCTCCCTTGGAATTTTTCCAGTGATGCAGCCCCTGAAGCCCATAGCAGCAGGTGGGAGGAGACCCCAACTCTTCCAAGGACAGATGGATGCCTGAGGCCCAGAAGAGGAGGGGACCGGCTGAAAGGTACAACAGCAAAGCCGTGGCTGAGCAGTGGGGGTCTCCTGCCCCGTAGGTGGCTAAGAGACCCGGCTTTTCCCTTTACCCACCTTGAGCACCTAGGCTGGACTCCAGTTTGGAGAAAAATGTGGGGGAATCTTCCCTTTCCCCATGCTGCCTCCCACTCAGCTTGGACCCAGGAACAGGGTGGGGAGACAGAAGGGGGCCCTCACACCTCATCTGGGGCCAGACCCCTGCTGCCTGCTTTCACTCCAGAATTGTTTTTCTTTTTTAAGATTTTATTTATTTATTTGTCAGAGAGAGAAAGTGAGCACGAGTAGGGGGAGTGGCAGGCAGAGGGAGAAGCAGGTTCCCCACTGAGCAGGGAGCCCAGTGCTGGACTCCATCCCAGGGCGCTGGGATCATGACCTGAGCTGAAGGCAGACATTCAACTGACTGAGCCACCCAGGCATCAATCACGCCAGACTTTCTACCACCAGGCAAGCATTCAGGCCCAGAGCAACTTACCCTGCTGCCCTCCTAGAGGGTCTGATCCGGCTCCAAACACTGCCCACCTCCTCTCTGATTCTTTCTCTCTCTTTCTGTCTTTCTCTCTGTGTCACACTCAAACACACATACACATGCACATGCACTCATGCATACCGCCACAGGGAAACAAGCAGACACACCAACATACACCTCCCCCTTATCTTCTCTAGAGCCCTCCCCAGGCCTTCCCATCTGTCCTTATTTGTTGGAAGAATCCTGCTCCACATGCTCCAAGTAAAAGAGAGATGTGGGTTCTAATCATACCTCCTCTGTCGCCGGGTCTTGTGGCTGCTTGGAGCCACGGCTGCCTCAGGGAAATGGGGAGCATAAGAGACCTTTCTCCTAGATATGTACGACAGTTAAATTAGATAATTCAATTAAGTGCTTAGTGCTGTGTCTGGCATGTAGTAACTACCTAGTAAATGAGAGCTTTAATAAAATTGAGTGAAGTGCTTTGAAAATTTGGCAGTACTGTATACAAAGCGAGTCTCCCGACTCCTGCCACATGAGTTAAGCAAGACAGGAATTAGTAGCAATTTCCCAATGAGAAAATTGAGGCTCAGAGTCTGAATGGTGAAGCTGGAAGGAGGACTCCATCTCTGGATTCCAAACCCCCTCCCCCGGTTCTGCTGGCACATCCAGTCACGGCGGGGAGAGTGCCTTATAGATGACTGTGTGTGGCCACGGGTGAGAAGGGGTGGCGTCTGGCCTAAAGCCCTGAGAAGGCAGAGGCTGTGTCCCCAGCACCTTGCACCCCAAGCTATCAGAGACGACCAGCGGCCCAGCCAAAGCCCATGTCCTCTCTTTTCAGGTGATGACCCCCCCGTGAGGAAGCCCTGTAGTGCGACTAGAGGAAGGGGCTGCCCCCACCAGCCCCCCCCAAAACCCCGCCACCATGAATACCTCGGCCCCACCCGCTGTCAGCCCCAACATCACCGTCCTGGCCCCGGGAAAGGGGCCCTGGCAAGTGGCCTTCATTGGGATCACCACAGGCCTCCTGTCCCTGGCCACGGTGACAGGCAACCTGCTGGTACTCATCTCCTTCAAGGTCAACACTGAGCTCAAGACAGTCAACAACTACTTCCTGCTCAGCCTGGCCTGTGCTGACCTCATCATCGGTACCTTCTCCATGAACCTCTACACCACGTATCTGCTCATGGGCCACTGGGCTCTGGGCACACTGGCCTGCGACCTCTGGCTGGCGCTGGACTACGTGGCGAGCAACGCGTCCGTCATGAACCTGCTGCTCATCAGTTTCGACCGCTACTTCTCCGTGACCCGGCCCCTGAGCTATCGAGCCAAGCGCACACCCCGCCGGGCGGCGCTGATGATCGGCCTGGCCTGGCTGGTCTCCTTCATCCTGTGGGCCCCGGCCATTCTTTTCTGGCAGTACCTGGTAGGGGAGCGGACGGTCCTGGCCGGCCAGTGCTACATCCAGTTCCTGTCCCAGCCCATCATCACCTTCGGCACGGCCATGGCCGCCTTCTACCTCCCCGTCACGGTCATGTGCACGCTCTACTGGCGCATCTACCGGGAGACGGAGAACCGGGCCCGGGAGCTGGCGGCCCTGCAGGGCTCCGAGACACCCGGTAAGGGGGGCGGCAGCAGCAGCAGCTCCGAGCGGTCCCAGCGGGGGACTGAGGGCTCCCCGGAGACCCCTCCGGGCCGCTGCTGCCGCTGCTGCCGGGCACCCAGGCTGCTGCAGGCCTACAGCTGGAAAGAAGATGAAGAAGAGGACGAAGGCTCCATGGAGTCGCTCACGTCCTCGGAGGGTGAGGAGCCTGGCTCTGAGGTGGTGATCAAGATGCCCATGGTGGACCCCGAGGCGCAGGCCCCCGCCAAGCAGCCCCCCCGGAGCTCCCCCAACACGGTCAAGAGGCCAACCCGGAAAGGGCGTGAGCGAGCGGGCAAGGGCCAGAAGCCCCGAGGGAAGGATCAGCTGGCCAAGCGGAAGACCTTCTCGCTGGTCAAGGAGAAGAAGGCGGCGCGGACCCTGAGTGCCATTCTGCTGGCCTTCATCCTCACCTGGACGCCATACAACATCATGGTGCTGGTGTCCACTTTCTGCAAGAACTGTGTCCCCGAGACCCTGTGGGAGCTGGGCTACTGGCTGTGTTACGTCAACAGCACCATCAACCCCATGTGCTACGCGCTCTGCAACAAAGCCTTCCGGGACACCTTCCGCCTGTTACTGCTTTGCCGCTGGGACAAGCGTCGCTGGCGCAAGATCCCCAAGCGCCCCGGCTCTGTGCACCGCACCCCCTCCCGCCAATGCTGATGGCCGCTCACCTGCATCCCGCCGCCCCAGTCCCCGGGAGGGCCGGGTAGGACGCGGGCAGGGACTGTGACCTCAGACTCAGGGCCCTGCTCTGTCCTCACCAGGCTTCGGGGCGGGGGGACCCCCTAGGTCACCTTCCTGGACAGCCAAACTTCGCTCTTCCCAGGCAGGGAACAAACCCAACCCGGGGAACTGGTTTTTCCGTTCCCTGCTGGGTGGGAATGGGCTCTTCACCAGGAAGAAGGCCCGGGGTGGAGGATTCAAGCTCTGGATCCCTTGTTTGCCTTCAGGCAGGAATCTGTGGGGAGCCAGCAGCAGGACCGGGCCAGGAGAAAGAAGGTTCACATTTCAGTCACCCCTGGCCCAGGGGCTGGCCCGGATCGCTTGGCTCCAAAGGAGCACCCCCTGACTGGGCATCCCCTCAGTCCGCAGGCACAGCCCCCCCCCCACTCCCGGGCTGTAGACACACTCTCCAGGCTTGTCCAGCCTCCCTACAAATGTCCCCAGAGTATCCATCCCCAAGGCAGATGTCCAAGCATCAGCAGGACAGTGCCACCAGAAGAGACCAGCTCAGCCAGTCACACACCAAGTCCCCAAGGCAGCAGCAGGACCAGGCGCCAGGCGTTCTGACTGTCCCACTATGTAGTTTCCCTGGGAATGAGGGGCAGGGGTGCCTGCTATCCGGCCCCACACCTATACCCTCTGCCCCAGAGAAGCCCTCAGTGCCCCCCTCCCTCCCTGGCTCACTGCCACCACCTGGATAGATCTGCTCTGTGCAGGCCTAGCCAGGCCTCCCGCATGCTGCCTGCCTCCAGCCTGCCCCACACAGGCCTGGCCCAGCCGACGGGTCCGCTCCTGTGAGCTCCCCGTCCAACCCATGCATGGCCTCCCAGCCGCCCTTATGTCCAGGCCCAGCCTGGCCCCAAATGTTCTTTCCTTCTATCCTCAGCAAGTGCTGAGTCTGTGAATAAAACCACATGACTAGCGGGGGCTCTGGGACCTTCTTTCCCTGTGTTGGATCCCAGGCCTGGTCTTAGGCCAGGGCAGAATGGGACGGGAGGGCTCAAGTACTGTGGAACGTGGGCCACTTCCCCGGGGCTGGTCCTAGGAGGGGCAGCACGGAGTGGCTGGAGCTCCTGAAACCTGTGGGCCCCAGCACTCCAGGGTCCCCGGCTCAGGTGAGTAGGGTTCTCATGGGCAGGAGGGAAGCCAGGTGAAATGAATTGCCCATGCCCATAGCCCAGCATATTCTCTATCAGCTTTGTCATATGTGGCTGCTCTGGGGCCCTGTTAGACCCGGGGAGAGCGGAATTGCTCCAAGCCTCCGTTTACAGATGGGGAGACTAAGGCCCAATGACCCAGGAGGACTATTCAGGGTTACCCTACAAAGCAACACCCAGGCTTCCAGGCAATTCACAACGTCCTGACCCCTGGACTGTGGAGAGGGGACACCTGGGGTCCAGGCCAAAGCACTCCATAAAGTTGACCCTCAGGCCAGGTTCTAAGGCATCTCATTGGTGAGGGGGCCCTAAAGCCTAAAGCAAAGAAATCTTAGCGAGGTTAGTCCCACAGCATAGAGTAGTGGTTCTCAAAGTGTGGTTTTCATGGGGGGTCCTCAAGACTACACTTAGGTTCAATGATTCGCTGGAGAGACACACCAGAACTCAGAAAAGCTGTTACACTCACGGTTAAAATGTATTACAGTAAAAGGACATGAATTAAAATCGGCAAAGGAGGGGTGCCTGGGTGGCTCAGTTGGTTAAGCATCCAACTCTTGATTCCCACTCAGGTCATGATCTCAGGGTTGCTGGATCGAGCCCCGAGTCAGGCTCTACACTGGGCGTGAAGCCTCCTTAGGATTCTCTCTCCCTGTGACTCCCCTCTTGCCCCCATGCTCTCTCTTCCCCTCTCTAGGAAAAAAAAAAAAATCAGCAAAGGCTAATGGCACATAGGACAGAGTCCAGGAGAGACCAGGTGCAAGCTTCCAGTATCCTCTCCCAGTGGAGTCATGGGGACAGCACTTAATTCTTCCATGTGTGACAACGTGCACGAAGAATTGCCAACCACAAAGCTTACCTGAGCCTTGGTGTCCAATGTTTCTACTGGAAATTGCTCATGTAAGCCTGGCTGACCCACTCGGCTGGCCTTAGCTACTCAGTCTCCAGCCCCTCCAGAGGCTAATCTGATACCACAAGGCGCACGGCCCCCAGGTAAGCAAAGACACTCTTATCAGGCCGGGTATTCCAAGGGCTTAGGGGTGATCTCCCAGGAGCCGGGCAAGGACCAAAACTTTCTCTGGAACGGGCCAGGTTTGGACCACCCAGATCTCCTGAGTTAATCCTTGAAGGCACCGCCGTCCCGACCAGGAGCATTTAGCATCACCCAGGAACTTGTTAGATCTCTAAGTTCTCAGGGTCACCCCAGATGTACTGAACCAGAAACTCCAGGGATCGAGCCCAGCCTGTGCTTCAACAAGGCCTCCAGGTGTGCTGATGCGGGCTAAAGTTTGAGAAACGCTGACCAGAGGAGTGAGGTCCTGGGGGGGCTGAACTTTTACAGAGAGGGCATGGAAGGGCAGGACACGGCAGTCAGGACTCCTGGAAGCCTCCGAAAGGGAAGCTTCCCACACTGTCAGCTCTGGGCTCTGGGAGTGCCTCTGCCGCACCACTGCTCCCTCATAGCCTTGAGCCCCTTTAGGGTTCAATGCCCCGCCCTGGGGCGAAGGCACTAGAACAGAAGTCTTGGTGGCAGAGAGCCCGAGTCCAAGGAAGCTGAGCAGCGCGGGGATGAGCAGGAGCGCTGGAATCAGATCGGCCTGAGCTCCACCGGAGGCCGGGAGAGGGAGGTCAGGGCTGGTGTTTGCATCAGGAATGGGGTTAGCGGTTCACACTTGTCCCTTGTCACAGGCGCAGGTCCTACCTGCCCATGGCCCCTCACCACTCAACCCTAGGCAAGTCTTATTTTCAGGATCCTCAAGGGGAATGAGTTCCTGGCAGAAGACGGAAGAGGGCGGGACAGATTAGAAAGAAAGCACCTCCGTGGCTCTGCGACCAGTGTTAACCACAGGACGAGGCTGTTCCAGACCCACACCTTTCCCTACACCTCCAGCGGTGGCTTTACAGAGTCCAGAGGCCCATCCCCCACCCCCACCCCACCCACCCCTCCCCCGGGCGGGGGGGTCGGGGGGGAAGAAACGGGGCTTGCAGAAAGGAGGATGGGGGCAAGCCTGGGTGGGGGAGGGTGTGCACCCCATGAAGGCAGCATCCCAGAAATGGGGCCTGTGCCCTGCAAGGCTCTGAAGCAAGAGTCCTTCAAACCCAGCTGCCAGAAGATGGAGGAAATGGTTTGAGGCTGACAGGACAGGGTGGCTGGATATGGCATCAGTCCACCCCAAACACCGCCACCGCCCCCCCACCGCCCTGAGGGAGTCCTTCTTGGCCCCAGAAACAAGGGCTGTTTCGAACGTGAACAGGAAGTGGGGAAAGAATGAGGTGGCTTTGTGAACGCCACCTCCTCCCCCTACCAAGTCGGAGCAGGCCTAGAGAAGGGGCACCGGGTAGGACTCTGCAGTGCGGGCTGCCCTCTCCCCGCCACCCGGCCGTTCCCACCGTATCACTTGAGCGCCATCTACGGGCAGCTAAGGGAATTGCCCTGCCGAGAATCGTGGCGCTTAGAACCTGCCTGGGCTGCCTCCCAGAGAAAAGGACCCCAGGACAAAACGTAGAGTAGATGGTCTTGGCCACCTCAGCAACTGCCCCCCCCCACATCTCGGGAGGAACCCGAGGCCCCGGAAGGACCAGTTCACTTGGCTACTAGGCTAAACCCGCTGAGGCAGGCCCGACCTCTCTCCTATATGCCGGTTTCACCAGTAGGAGATGGATGGGGGCGGGGGGGGGAGGGGGAGACTTGGCGTCCAAGGACAGCCCCCCGCGTTCTCCCAGGGCCTCCCCCAGGCTTTTGGAATCCTGTCTCATTTCTTGGAGCATGGCTCCGATTGTACAGGACAGTTGCTGATCCAACTGGACACTCACCTTTACAACACAAAAGCCTTTAGAATGCCAGGTGTCCCACACCAGCCTCAAGCTCCAAAGATTTTGAGGTGATGTCTTTGTTCTTAGCATCTTTGTAACATACACAAACTGCGTAAGTCCAGGAATCAGACTATCACACAAAATAGGCCTGAAAATTACCATCACTCCCCCACCCCCGTCCCTGTACCTCCTCCACCCCCCAGTTCTACTCCCCCTCCTGGTGTTCCTGGCGGGGCTAGCACCACCATCCACGCAGTGCTCAATCCAGAAATCTGTGAGTCATCTTGGACTCCTTCTTCTTTTCACTCCCTGTACCAGTTGGTCAGTCCACCTCCCGAACAGTTCCTAAATTTGTCCAGCGCTCTCCATCTGCCCTGTCACCATCCTAGTGCAAGAGGGCCTGAAATGCTGAAATTATCCCTTAATTCAGGGGTTAACAAACCTTCTCTATAAAGGGCCAGATAGTAAATATTTTAGGCTCTGTGGATCAAGAGGCAAAATTAAGGATATTATGTAGGTACTTCTGTATTATAGTCTCTGTCACAACTATTCAGTTCTGCCATAAACAACACATAAGTGAACGAACATGGCTGTGTTCCAATAAAACTTTATTTAAATTCCACTGAGCTTTGAATTGCATATAATGTTCATGTGTCACAAAGCGTTATTCTTCTTTTGATTTTTTTTTCTGGCCATTTAAAAATGCAAAACCCATTCTTAACTTACAATGGGTACAAAAACAGGCCGACCAGCTGTGGTTTGCCAACCCCTGACTTAATTGATCCCATTCCCATTCATTCCCCATGCTTCAGCCAAAGGGATTTTGCCAAAACTTAGATCCATTGCTGCCAATCGTTTGCTACAACTAGCCAATAGCTTGAGATAAAGATGCAAGCCCCTCAGCCTACAACAGCCTTCCATCCAGGCTTTTCTGTGACCCCTCAGTCCGTTGACACCCCCAAAAATTCTCCTGGTCCTCACACAGGCCCCAAGCCCACTCATTCATGCTTTTCACTCCTTCCAGTTCCTCTGCCTGGAATTTTCTTGCCCCACTAAAAATTCTATTTCCTCTACACTCTACCCACAAAATGTCTGACACCAAATGGAGAGTTGTTGGGTTTTGTTTTTGTTTTTTTTCCACACCAGCTAAGGCTCCAACATCAGCCAGGTATCCAGCAATTGATTCTGACACTATCTAGCGAGGTCCAGAAGGGTCCCAAGCGCAGGAGCTTCTATTCCCGTGGAGTTGGCGTGCACCACCCTCCCAGCACATGAATGTGTTCACTGACTGGGAAGCCCTCT